AGACTCTGTCTCATAAAAAAAAATTACAGAAGCTGTGTGTATAGGGTATATCTGAATACAGAATTATTTTTGCAACTTTTTTGTAAGTCTATAATTATTTCAAAATAGAATATATATGTCATGCTTATAATTATAAAAGAACGTTCAATAAAAATGAAAAACAGACTGGAAAGAAATAAATTATAGTGTTAATGGCATATATAAGGAATTACAGTGTTTTTAATCTTCCATAAAGTGGTTATTCCCATAATAGAACAAAATAAGTTAAAACAGAATAAAAGAAATTATGACTTACTTTTTATACAGAACACCATATGGTTTTTTCAGGGCATACTGTAAAACAAAATTTATAGCTTACAAAACAAAAATGACTTCCAAAAAGCAGAAATAAAAAAAGCATTATAACAGTCATTCTACAAAATTACTCTGGTCATTGAACCTTGTTCTGACGTCTTCCGGTTGGCTCCCTTTTGATCACTTACAATAATTCTCACATAAGCTTAATATTCTCACAGACTGAACTTTCCTAATTAAAAGTTTCTAAGCTTTGACTTGGCACCTGTAGCTCAAGCAGCTAGGGTGCCAACTACATAAACCAGAGCTGGTGTGTTCGAATCCAGGCCCGCCAAACAACAATGACAACTACAACCAAAAAATAGCTGGGCGTTGTGGCAGGCACCTTGGGAACTGCTTAAGCCCAAGAGTTTGAGGTTGCTGTGAGCTGTGACGGCATAGCACTCTACACAGGGCGACAGCTTGAGACTCTGTCTCCAAAAAAAAAAAAAAAAGTTTCTATGCTCTTTCTTTTGTCTATTCAACTAAATTAATTCCTCTATTTCGTTATACTCTACATAGTCCATCCTCTCTAGGCAAACAATTTGAGAGAAGAAAGAACAAAAGAAAACAGATAAAATAAATCCTATCAGGAAAGGCCAATATATTGAAATAGTGTGGTCTGCAGAAAAGAAAACTCAGAAAGTCACAGTAATGGCAATCAGAATACCAGCCAAAGTTTAAACACAGCCCTGTTTTAAAAAATCCCTGTTATTCACCCCTCTTCATTTTTTTTCTACTTCTTTCCACCCATTCACTAACAATCACTTATTACTCGTATACCCAGAACTGCTCTACCACAGAATTAACCAGTATGCTGAAAAGCATAAAATGATTTCAACACCATCTGAAAGGTAAGGACACACACGTACCACATCTCTCAGTACTTGTGTCACTGTTGCATTTGCATTTCCTCCTTTAATCAGCATGGCATTTTTAATATTTTCATTGAGTTTTGGTTCTCTCTTCTCAAGGAATCTTTTGGCTCTTTTTGTCTTGGGCTTTCTGTTCAGAAAAACACAATTCATAACAATTTAAATATTTTTCTCATTGGAAAACTATGACTATCATGCAAATTCTTAAAAACCAACAGAGATATAACACTATCATACTTAACATCAGTTAGGATTCCATCTGAAACAAAACCTCACCTTTTAGGAAGATATTAGTAAACTCAATTCCCTCATTTCTGTTAAATAGATATTTTATTTTGTTTTTTTAAAAAAGCTTTCAGTTGCTCAGGCGGCTGAGGCAGGATGATTGCTTGAACATAGAAGTTGGAGGCTGCAGTGCACTGTGATAACAGTGTACTCTAGCCTGGGCAAAAGAGCAACATCCAACCTCAAAAAAATAAATTAAAATTTTAAAAGCTTTCATTTTAAGGCTGGGAACAGTAGCTCATATCTGTAATCTAGAACTCTGGGAGGCCAAGGCAGGTGGATCACCTGAGCTCAGGAGTTTGAGACCAGCCTGAGCAAGAGCAAGGCCCTGTGTCTAAGAATAGCTGGGTATTGTGGCGGGCACCTGTAGTCCCAGCTACTTGGGAGGCTAAGGTAAGAGGATCACTTGAACCCAAGAAGCCCAAGAGTTTGAGGCTGCTGTGAGCTATGACACCATGGCAATAGAGTAAAACTCGGTCTCAAAGAAAAAGGAGCTTTCACTTTGATGTCCTAGAACTTCTATTACTGCCTTTTTTCCAAATTTTTTTTTTTTTTTAGAGACAAGAGTCTCACTTTATCTTGAGATAAAGGCCCCCCTGGTAGAGGGCCGTGGTGTCACAGCTCACAGCAATCTCCAAATCCTGGGCTTAGACGATTCTCCTGCTTAACTGCTGCTTATCTTTCTTCTAGGTTTAAGGACACAATGTCTGTCAGAAAGAATATATACTGTCCCATTCCAACATCATTGCTGAGAAAGTCAACATTATTGCCACCAAAAAGAAATAATAATTGTTATGCCTCAATTTTCATCCCAAGGCTGTAGGACAGGAACACTTCTCATCTTCACTTCAGCTGAGGCCAAAGAGGTATTATGCCCTAGGTTACATAGCTAGTAAGTAGGCCAACCTTCCACATGAGCTAGATTTAAAAACTTGTCTCAGTGGAGTGCAGTGGCTCATGCCTACAGTCCTGGCATTCTGGAGAAGGACTGCTTGAGGCCTGGAGTTTGAGATACCAGGAGTAAGACTGAGATCCTATCTCTTCAAAAAAACAGAAAAATTGGTAGCTGAGCCTGGTGGTGAGGGCCTGTCGTCCCAGCTACTTGGGAGAGTGAGATCACTTGAGTCCAGGAGCTGGAGGTTGCAGTGGTGAGCTATGATGGTGCCACTGCAATCCAG